CTGAAATTTCAAACTTTAACTTAATATAAAAAATGCAAATGTTTAATGTCCAAACTTGAATGTCGACGGAAATTGTATGCCATATAATCATAGCAAGGGTATTTTGATAACTTATATTGTGAAATTCATTAATAATTAATGATTTGCACCCAATCAAATTGCAGGAATTAGGTCACATGCGTGCACCACATATAGTAAACTCTGTGCAAATGAGTATTAAAGAAAATGCTAATTAGTTACGAACATCAGACCTTGATTACTTAACTAATCATATATAGAGCAAAATTAGTCAAATATAATTGGCTAATGATGAGGGCATTAGTTTTTCTTAATTCAGGGAAAAATTACTTGTGCCTGATTCAGCTGAGATACGAGCGCGGGACGTTTCTTGTTTTAAATATAAATAAAAAACAATGGCTTCACGCTTTGTCGTTGGGGACAAGGATGTTATTGAAGAATTAAAAACTTCTAGTAAAATCTCGACCACTAGAAAAAGTACAAATTCATGGGTTAGTATGGGTTGGACTATTTAAGAAATGGGCAGCATTAAGGAAGATCGGCGAAGACATGGAGACATACGAAGTTCAAGAACTTGACAAATTCACAATTAATGCGAATACATTTTGCCCTCTATGAATAGCATATATTTCCTCGTATAGTTAAGATTTAATTTCACTTGTGTTTTCAAAATTAATTATTAAACCTTAATTTTACTCGGCCCCATGCGATTACCTATACAGTATATTAATAATAACTAATAGACTTTGCTATAATTAACGCAAATAGTTAGTGTATAGTTTGTCTTCTGTAAAAGGTTTTACTTCCCACTACATACCCTTTCGGGAGAGTAGACATTTCTTCTAAGTCCATCAAATTTACAAGGTTGCTATTCTTAAAACCCTAATTCCATTAAAAGTTCTTCAAAGCCGCATGCATTCATTATTTATTCATTGTTTATAACACGCGCGTCCGTTTTGAATAAAATATATAATCACTTGCTTTCACCGTTCTGAATAAAATACATAATCACTTGCTTGCTTGCAACCTATATCCTAAAAACGTTGCAGCACTTAAAATGCCAGAAAGCGCCC